GAGGAGCAGAAGGGAGGGGCAGAGTACACTGAGTGCTTGTTTATACTGACAGGGAAAAAAGTATAAAGTACTGTAAGACTTATAGTAGTTAGGATACATGTGTTTGGACTGTTTTTTATTTCCTATAACGAAGTTATTACTTCTGTAATCACAGAAAAATCTTTCAAACATCAATATTACATATGTTTACACTTGATTATGAGATGGAAATGTAGCATGGTAGGGCATCTATAATTATATTAACAATTCGAAAAATTTGTTTTAACAACTTGAACAGTTATATATAACATGGAAATTCTATTACTTACTAAATCCTGAATGTATCACCACCTGGTTTTCTCTCCCATTCAATGTAAGTCATTATCTACCATGGCTATTAAAACACTCTTACTAAATAATGTTCCTTTTGTTCACACAGTGAGATTTTTTAAAATGTAAAGAAATCGTAATGGATATTCCATTATCATTATTTAGAAAACGCTAAGAGAATTCAACACTTGAGCCTACTGAGAGCACTACATAGATCATCAAATTTAATTTTGAAGAGCTGATTAAAACCTAAATAAAGGATGTACAGAAATAAGCTCATTCACTTTTCTAAGATATGATCCTTGAATAATTTTAAAACATGTCCAAAGCTCAGATACGTACACTAAAGACCAAAGAGGGGGATATTTCCTAAGACCCAACAACACCAAATGATAGGCCAGCAGCACACATCTTTCTCTGGACTGCAAACAGAATCAATAGTTTGAGATCCAGTGGGAAGAATAACAAAGTAAGAAACATGGCCACAACACTTTAATAGCACATTGCTTTGAAACAGTTAATATGATGCTAGGAGGAAAAGTCACACGATATGAATCCTGAAACTTAAATAAGCCTAGAATACATTGACTAAGCTAATAGCTGCTGAAGATGGAGAGTCACATTCAACTTTTAAAAAGTAGTTAACCTACTGCAAGAAAATAAAACTCTACAGAGCTCCCTAACACAGAATCATTGTAAATGAACAAATAAAAACAAAGAGGATTACAACATTATTTATCAATATAGAATCATATCTTGGGGAAAAAATGATATAAAACATTTTTCCCCGTCTACTATTTGCTATTCCTAGAAGAAATATGTATTGGATAGTTTTCAGATCTTGCCAGATTTTGGATAACATGGCTAGGCTGGAAAATGTGACACGATGTACTTAAGCGGATCATTATGGAAAACTAGAAGATCCCATAATGCAAGAGAAACAAAGAAAATATGGAAACCAAGCTCAAGGAGCCCAACACAAACATTCTGATGTCTTAACTTGGTGTTGATAGCTAGATTAAAAGTGAAGTACATATGTTTACTTCCTTAAAGACTTGTCTCTTTTCAGCATGGGCTTGAAGGTGCTCCATGACAAAGGGTATAATAAAGTTCATACTAGAGAAAACTGGGATTATGAATATAGCATCCTGCGCTTTTAGGAACTTTACCTTCCCATGAATAATCCTGGGAAAATCCTTATGGCACAACCTTTTCGACATGACTATGCCCTGTTAGCCTTGGTTGCTCCGGGGGACTCAGGTGTGGCACCAAGTGCATGGCATTGGGAACTCGGTGACATCACAATCACTTAGCACAGATAATGTACTGTTACTTTGTATGTCAAGTATAAGGCATGTTAAGGCAAGATTCTGTGCTATGGGAAAGCTTGTATATTTTAAATGACAACATTTCTTGAAATGTCAGTATTCAATTTTTAATAGCTCAGGTTAAAAAACAAAGCAGGTACCTACTCAACTTTCCATGAGATAACACTATGAAGCCAGAGATTACTAGGATTTAGAAAAGGCAACAACTTTCTAACAACATAAACAGGACATCCCAGTAACTATATATCCATTTATTCTAAATCTTGTAACAGTCTGAACCACACATACAGAGAACTGAGAAAGATTAGTCTTTCACAATGATATGGATAATCTTTGGTAGGCAAAATCTATTTTACAACTCACACAGGCAGATGAGCAAAAAAGAGTAGGAAAAAGAGCTTTATTTCTTGACAAAACTACATAGGAGGTGCAATATATACGAACCTAATAAAATTATATGCTGACATAAAACAAAGAAAAAGAACTGGAATATCAAAGGAGGCTGAACCATAAACTTGTAAGGTAATATTGCATTTAGAAGCTATAAAACATGATCACTGTGAATACCAATTAGTCGTAACAGAATAATTAAAGTAGCCATGTATTCAATTAATTGAATTCTGGACTTTCGTTAGGAGAAATTACATAGGGTTCACTGAGCTTTTTCCAAGTGGCATTAATAAACAAAGAATTATACTTCTAGCACTGTATTCCAAACCATTCTAGAGGGTGACCTTCAGTAGGGTAACTCATCTAAGTGAACTTAAATGATGTCCAACCTATTATCATACTTTTCAGTGACCATTTAGAGGCATAGCATCAGCTTTAAGCAGACCGCAGGTTGAAATGTTTAACTGCACTGATGTCCACTAACGCTCTAACACCTAATACAACTTGAACATAAACCAGAGAGATGAAAGACAAAAGCCCATTTTTCCAATTGACTTCTTTAACTGAAGTCCGGAACTCAAACCCAAGCACCCAGGATTATATCAAAGCAATTGGTTTTTGTTTGTTCTGTCTTCCCCTTCTCAGAGTTTCAAGATCCCTGATTGACATTTTAAGCTTTTTTATACTAATAACATAGTAAAAACAGCCAACTGATTATATCCTTTGCCACCCTGGGGTATGACATGGTTTGGCTCTGTGTCCCCACCCAAATCTTATCTTGAACTGTAATCCCCATAATCCCTGCATGTTGAGGGATGGACCAGATGGAAGGTGGCTGGATCATACGGGAGGTTTCCCCCTGCTATTCTCATGATAATGAGTGAGTGCTCACAAGACCTGATGGTTTTATAAGTATTTGATAGTTCCTCCTTCACAGGCTTTTCATTCTCCAGCTGCCTTGTAAAGAAGGTGCCTGCTTTCCCTTCTATTTCCATGACTGTGCGTTTCCTGAGGCCTTCCCACAAGCGCAATTGTGAGTCAATTAAATATCTTTCCTTTATAAAGTACCTGCTCTCAGGTAGCATCTTTACAGCAGTGTGAAAACAAATAACACAGTTAACTGGTACCAAGGTAGTGGGGCACTGCTATAAAGATACAGAAAATGTGGAAACAAGTTTGGAACTGGGTAACAGACAGATGTTGGAACAATCTGGAGAGCTCAGAAGAAGACAAGAAGATGTGGGAAAGTTTGGAACTTCTGAGAGACCTGTTAAACGGTTC